ATTTTCATGGTTATTGAAAAATCTTGAAAGCTTTTAAAGATGAAGTCTTGACTACACTATGATATATATCCAATCTCTCGTGGTAATGAAAAGAGGTCATGGTAGATGAAAAAGGACACCTAGCAGGGGGAAAAAAAGCAGGTGAAATGTAATTTTTCTGCAATGGTGAAAGTAGTAATGGTAAAGAATCTTAGAGGTGAGGGTAAACAGCAAATTTGATTAATTGGTAAAGTGATACACGCAGCAGCAAACAAAATACTTTGAGTTGAATTTCTGAAGGTATTATATTACACAGAAGGGAGATAATATTCCATCACTGTATTGCTCTAGCATGTCTCTCCAAGAATATACTGTTGGGATCCACAAACCACATTACTAAAGAGGTGTCAACAAGGGAGAATATAATGAAGCTAAGTGTAACAGAAAATTCAGCTTCTTAAGAAATACAGGCTTTAGGATGGCTAGATAAAGGGACTAAGAGGAACTCAGAAGTACAAAGTTCTGTGAGAACTGAAGGATTTTGTTTAAATGGCTGAAATAAAGCTTTACATGAAAGTACAAATTGGATTAGCTCAACTTAGTTCAGAGCTCAGCAGTGAAGGAAAGGAGGCAGCAATGAGCTCCTTGCATTTTAGAGTAGTCATGCGTTGGAAGCATTATTGTACTTGTGTGAAAAATCTTTGCTCTTGGTAATTTTATATTCAATTTGACATTGGCAAGGTGGTAATTTAGAGCTAAAAAGTCTTTACATCTCTAATGTGTCCATTTGAAATACTTTAGCACCAATTAGCCAATATATGTGGTAAATATTGGCTATTTTGTCCTGTGGATTGCAATAAGGATCAGTCTGCAGTTACAGCTGCTGTTTTCTCATTGTTCCATGTGGAATATAAGTAATACTGGCGTAATTCAAAATTTTGGCAAACTTTAGGATTGTGTATGGCAGACATCTGGTTTAGAGCTTAGGTTTTCTTTGTGCATATGTCTAGGTGAGTAGTTGCTTCACATGCATTCTCATCACCTTTCCACTGTTCTAAAGGGACACCACAGGAGATCCTGGGACAAAAAGGATATATTTGTCATAAACTTGAATGCTGCCCTCTCATGTTGCCAGTCCCTCAGGGAGACTGAAACAAAGGCAGGCAGTATTTTTGTCTGATGACGTTTTGAAGGAAGGTGTATCCACTGTGTTGAGGATATTTTTATCAAAGAAGAAATGATGGTTTAGTCCTCTGCAGGACAAGTCCTTCACTTGCCTAAAGAAAAGCATTAAATATTGTTAAAAATGACCTTGCATGCATCTTTTTATATGCCAGAAATACATAGTCTATTGCAGATCAAGTCAGACTCAAGCAATCGACTTCTGAAATGCTTACTGATACAATCTTGTTGCTGCAGTAAGAGTAACTCAGGGTTCTTCTATAAGCACATCGACCACAGCAGCTAAAATATAACTGATGAGTAATGTGATCAGCTTCATGAAGTAGTGGCAGCTTGAACAACTGGAATTTCCATTACTTGTTTCCTTCCACCTTTATTTAGCTTTGACACTAGTGTTTTTTCTTTCATTCACTTCATGGCTTTGCACTCCCAAGCATGCAGTTGTAGCTTTCCAAAAGTCAGTTCACTATAATACAACATGGTCTCCCAGTCTATGTGAGTTGTTTCCACTAGTGTAAGGCCTCTGACATAGTTGTGGAAGGATGGCTGTGCTCAGGCTTGGAGGCGTTTGCTGGAGGGGGCAGCACGCTCCTCTGCTGCACATCCTGCAGAACCTGGTACTCTTCCAGCTTCCTTACAACTGGTCCCATCAGTCAGCTCTGGGGAGATCTGGCAAGCTCTGGACAATTCTCTGTTTGGAGATCTGTAGAGAAAATATCACTCTGTTCCTGGACTATGTTGGTGGGGTTTTTTTCCCCTTTAAATGTCACTCCTACCAGAAGTGACCTCATCTGACTCAGCATTGGTTCTGCCTGAAGGGAGGGAACTATAAGCAAGTCATAGATTTTTGACATAGCTGTAGAATGTAGGGAAGAAGACACACCAAAAGAAACAAAGTACTGTTATTTGAGCAAATAAAATAAGATTTTTGGAACAATGTAACAGGCAGTTATGTAAAGCAAATAAAACCTAATCTAAACTTCTCAAGCTTTTGAAACAAGGGGGTTGTCTGTTATGTACACACAGTATATTACATTCTCAGGTTTCCTAGAAGGTTTTGCTGAAGTTTGTGCTGGTGGCTGTGTTAACACTGTACCTGCTGCACCAGTCTGCTTCTGGGGTTAGCTCCAGATGTTTAACACAATGAGAACACCTGTGTATCACCTTTACAAGCAGGGCAGGGTTGAAATAGGCATCTGCATGGACCACTAGCTTTCTTATTTAGAGGGTGATTGTATTAAAAGTCTGTAGAGGACGAGTGAGACCTGTGCCAAGAGTGTCCCCAGCAAATGGGCCTGTGACTGCAGCATGAACTGCTTTACTGTTTGCAGTTCATTACAGGCATAGAGCTTTCTCTAGGTAGGCAGAAGGCAAACACAGGAGGGAAAGGACATGAAGAGGTCTGGAGAAACAGCACTGCAAAACATTTTTAATTCTAAAACTCACATGGTAGTGATAGAGCAGGCACATGAGAGTTGTGGTCCTGTTGTATTGAAGGAGAGTGTTGACCAAGGACATTGGCATGTGCTTTCCTTTTGAAAGTACCGAGCTATGCTGGACCTTCATGCAGACACAGACAGAAACCGAAGGAGTAGGAAAAAGTGACCTCAGTTTAACATTTCATTCAAATGACAGTGTCCTTAATGAGACTACCACTCCAGTTTCCTAGCACAGCACCCAGCCTGAAGAATCTCAAAGAGCCTTTCAGATGTCCTAAACTGATAAGCAAATGGCATGTTACACATGTGAAAGTAGGATGGAAGCACATAGTGTTTGATTTAATAGCTTCTCTATTTTTTATACATAGCTCTGTTCAGCTTGCTGTGCAGTTTTATTCTGTTCTGTGTTTTGCTTTGCCCCCATTTTTTTCCTCCTCCTCCCCAATGACTGAAGATTTAGGTATAGGAAGGTAGTGTGCACAGAATTCACAGCCCATAAAAACATAACCTTTTTTCTGTGATACTGTCTCTACTAGTGAAGCAATGACTCCTGATTTTATTCCCTTCTCTTGAACCCTTAAAATTAAGCCATGAAAGGGCACTAAAAACAGCAGTGAAGTCTTAGGAAAAGGAAAGGAATACTTCGTTGAGAATTTACCTTCAATCTTTTGTATGAGCATGTGACCTTTTGTAGTGGATTTTATTTTTTTTAATGTTTAGAAAGAGACCTACTAGATAAACTGGCAGGCTGGAAAACTCAGCTGTTTGAAGTGCAACAAGTCAGTTTTGCCTGCCCTCAAAGATGTAAGCCAAACATCAGTAGTTCTGGACTCCTATAGGATAGGTTACAAGTGTTGTTAATGTAAATGTGCCCTAGAGGTATTTGTGAGACATCAGAAACCCATTTTCTTTTCAAGTTGTGTCTTGCTGTTTGCTTTGGTTTTGACTTGGGCCAGTTCTACTGGCCTAGTGTAACTTTAAAATCCATGGGAATTATTGTGGTATAATTTGGACCTCTGATTAAAATAATATGATTCTGTGGCTTAGTCTAGGGTCTGTGCAGAGCTTAATTATTCCCTTGTACAAGTGGCTTTTCTGCCACTGTGAATACTAAACAAATACATACATTGCCTAATAGTTTTGAAAAATTACTGACAATCCTCAGATTAAGACTGAGGCCTGGGTAATGTTTGCTCTCTACCATTTCACCATCAGTTTTTCTATCACTTTTTAAGATGGATGTATGGGCCGAGTCACCTATTATCAGCATTCAAACTGAACTACCTCACTCTAGTGCATTATGTGGTTTTGGTTGTCTTTGATTATCAGATTAGAACATCTTTTCTTTTTTTTTCTTTTTCTTTTTTTTTAATTTTTTGCACCTTAACGTAATGGGAATTTCTTTCTACCTGAAAGGTAAAGGCAGGGATGCTGTAGAGATACAGGAGAATGATTCTGGAGGTCCTGCACATATTAATGGCTTTAAAGGGGTGAGCATTATTTAATGATTATAGCTTTACCCTGAGAGCAGAAGCTTTTTGTTTATCTGTAGTTCTGCCAACATCTTCTCCTATTTCCTCATGTTCTCTGTGGTTTAGCTATTCCCCCATCTAAGGCAGAAACGCTTTCCAGCATTTCTGAACAGGGATTATAAAATTTTATGGAACTCCTAACAACTGGAATATAAAGTATGAAAAATCAAGGAATGTATTGAGGAAGCAGTTAGCTAACTGTTTGTATTCTTGGCCTTCTGCTTAAGTGTCATGTCTTTAGAAGACTTATATTGAAATAATGAGACAGGTAGGAACTATGCTTTTGCCAGGGAAATTAAGTGCTGATTAGAAATAACCCAGAATATTTTTTTGTGCATTCAAAGAGAATACATTTTAATTTTCCCTTGAGAAAGCAGGAGCTATGACACCAAAAGAGCCAAACATCAAGTTGTGGGTTTTTTTTTCGTGGTGCTAAATGTATATAGTATATAATTTTATACTAAAGCAAAAAAAAAAAAAAAAAAGACACTTTTTTTTTTTGTTCCTTTCCTGCTACATATGAAAGGATCTATGTAAAAAGAACCTGTTTGTAGTACTTTATATATCATGGTGCAATAAACATGTTCTGAAGAAGTTACAAGTGGCTATGTGGTTGTTAACAGGTTAGTAAAGAGGTACAGTTGTATGAGGTTTTAGCATGAGACTTTGTTTAGTTGTTTTATTAAAAAATCTGTTTCTCCCATAAAGTAGCTGATCATGAAGAGGGGCTTTATAAGCCTAGAAAGATCTCTCCCCTTCCCTGGGGACTATATTAGACTTCTGAGTCATGAAGTCTTTGCATAGTAAGTGTCTGGTTACAGACCTTTTATGGGCCCTACTCAGCTGGGATATCAGCATCTGCATTATAGCTCCCATCTATTCTTAGGTGATAGCAGAGCCGACTGAGCAGGCAAGACAAAGATAATTGCTTTTGTTACATAAAACTCTTCCCTTTTCTCATTCTGTTTTTTTCATGCTTTTTCTGTCTACCCCATCCTTCTCTTCTGCAGTGCCTTGTTGTTGCCTTGTGAAAGAGGTACAAAATGGCTTACAGTGTGACTCTGAATGGACCTGGACCCTGGGGCTTCCGACTGCAAGGGGGCAAGGACTTCAACATGCCCTTGACGATCTCCAGAGTAAGTGAGCAAAACACCCCTTGTTGGGCCTGTTTAGGTTGGAAAATAGCAGTGACATAGCCTAGCAAGACAGAGAATCTTTGCAGCTGGGTCTGAATAAAAATAATATAATGTGAACTTTAAATATAGCAGTTCAAGGTACAACCTGGCATTGATGATGCCTCAGAAAGACAGTTCTGGTTAGCATATTTATTTAAAATGATGACATGGTCTGTTTTAAATATCCTTCCAGTTCTTTTTGCACAGTGTTGTCTTTCTGATAGGGGCCGGGACAAAGGTAGGGATTCATCTCCCCTCCTTTGGAGGAGAGCAGTAATGGGGTGAAAATTATTCATGGGAATCAGAAGACTTAATAGTGCTTAAAATATGGTTTTAAATTATGCAGAAGCCTTCCATTTGCAGCTGACAAACAGCATATGATTTAATAATTAATTGCCTGGTCTATCTGTTGATTAAAGATTAGTCCATTTATTTCCTAGCCATCTTTTTTTAATATATATATTTCCTAAGAGCAATATTTTAAGGGGCTTCAGTGAAGTGTTCTTAAGTGAATTAGCTGAGTTTCTTAAAATTTTTAGCACTGAAGGGTTTTCAGGATATTTGTAAGCGTTTCCCTTATCTACTCTTCTCTTATAAAACTAGAGAGTTCTGTGTAACTTCTGGTTTGGGAATTCTCCTTTCTCTTACCTCTTCCAACTCTTTTTTTTTTTTTTTTTTTTCCCCCCCTTTATCAAAGTCTCAAATCTGTTCCACAATACCCATATCTTCTTAGAGATAACATTTCCTCCACAAATTACCTGCAGAAGGCTTATTTTGCAGTGCAGTGACAAGAGAGGTTACTTACATAAGTATTGCAAAGGAATACCAGGATGATTTAATCAGACAAACAAGTAGAATGCTAGGAAAAGGTCTGCTGCTCTGCAAAAAAAGCCACCTACACTACTTTGAAAACTTTTTTTCATTATGAAAAAATACAGTCTGTTAAGTTTTGGGCACCAAATTGATAACCCCACAACAATTGTGGTTCAAAGTCAACAGTGAGTTTCTGAAATCTTTACAGTATGAATATGAAACAGCATAGTTAAGATCTGTATTATTTGATCTCCCTTATTTCTTATGCACAATATTCCTTTCTCTAAACACAGACCTCCATTTACCTTAGTACTAAATCATATTATGATGAGAGGAACTTTTTGTAACCCCTTTTGCAGAAGCAGCATAGTAATTGTGTAGAAACCTGTTGTCAGTGTTATTAAAAACAAACAAGAGAAAAAAACAACCAAAAAAAATCCCAACAAAACCAAACAACCCCTGCCCACAAAAATAAACTCCCTTCATAACTTATACTGATTTCACTATGGTATTTGGTATTTCCTTTCTTTCCCCACCCAAGGTAAGTACAGAGAGATGCCAACATATTTCTATAAGTATTTTCATGATACTTTGCAGCCTGCACTGTACAGTGTTGATTCTTTTTTAAGTAATTCAGTCATACCTAGAGGCTGTCAGTCAAAGGCTGAGGCTGTGGCGCTTGCAATCAGAAATGATAAACCATTTGTTTCCCAAAGAACTCAATTGTCTCACATTATCTCTTAGAATGTACTCACTGTGCCCCCCTAGGCTGTATGATTCCCGGGGGGGGGTTGTGAGCATGTGGTGAGCAGGAGTGAAACTGCAATGGCTGGATTCCCAGAGGCATGAAGGAATTGCCTCTTCACACAGCTGACTGTATTTTCAACAGTAGAAGTGTTATATGTTTGTGTGTCAATGTTTTGATCTTGTTTCCTAGTGAGGCCCAGTTTCATGCTGGGAGCATTGCTTTCGGGTGGGATTGGATTTTGTAGCCTGTCTTAGGGAGAAAAAGCAGGCATGCAGAAGTTGATGTAGCCTCTTTCAGGGGCGGTTGGAATAGGAATAGCTGCAGGTTGTGATGTTTTTTAGTTAGAACACAATGTAATATGTGACTTTTTATTATAATCCTAAAGTATGTTTTTTCTTTAGCATTTTTCACATAAATATTATCTCCAAACAGATCAGATACTCCTCTTAACAATTTGCAGTAGTAAGTTGAGCTGCAAATTTAGCCATAATTGAAATCCTACCATTGGGGAAAAAGAAAGCTGTACTTAGATTATCAAGGTATTTTGGGGGAGCCGTGGAGGAGGGAAGGTAACTGTGAGGAAAATCCCCTTCTTGGGAAGGGCAGGCAGCTCTAAATGTTGCCAATGGATGCTGTACACTTACCTATGGGCTGGTTTCAGTCTGCCATTGCCCTGAGATTGGATTAGACTTTCTATGTGCAAGATGACTTCTAAACCCCAAACGTTTCAACTTAAAGGGTCTTATATTTGCTTTTAATACAAAATGTGCCGTGGCCATTTGCTTATATATGTCTAGTATCTCTTTATGCAGACAGATAGGGTTTACATGCAGACGTGCTCATTATCCTCTAAGTGCCCCAAGCAATAAGGCTGTCTGTAGGTGAGCCACAGAGAACATCTGAAAACAGAATCATCTGTTTTCATGGAGACTCTATGCTTTTCTGTTGTGCTGCAAGTCATGTAGTAAGAGTTGTCTCTGAGCTCCTGAGAAAAATGACATCAACAGTCCACCATACCAGGATTGTTCATCCCACCTATAGATAGGACAGGAAAAGAGGAGACAAAAATAAGTGGAGAAGAGCTTTCACATTCCTTTAGCAACAGAATTAGAAAATAATCTGGGAAGATGTAAAGTATAAAAAATAAAAATATTTTTCCAGCTCCCACACTGCAGACCATCCTACCCTGTACAACAAAATCTGTCATGAGGTGTCAGGCAGATAGCAGAGGTAGAAAAACAGTATTGACAGACTCCTAGTAAAGCTGAGCATCTGTCGTCCCACTGAAATGAATGAGACTTACAGGTTGTTGGCAATACTGAGCTGTCACCAGTGGTGTGATCATAAGCATAAATCTGGTCTTTCCAAATTGATGTGGCCAGTAAAGTTATTTTCTTCTAGTGATTGTATGAAGTGTCTGGGAGCAAGCAGAATTAATTTATTTTATAGACCTAATTCTCTGTAAGAAGGCTTTTAGGCCTAGTTCACTATATAAGCGCTGTGTTGCCATGTTACCTAAAATGGTACAATCATACATGGGTGGACACAATAGCAGAGTCTCTTAATACATTTCTGAGTTAGTATTGCTGAACAAGCTTGTTTAGTGAGGCAGACTGGCTTGCAGGTGATCCAATGTGCTGAAAGGTATGCAAGAAGTATTATCATCGTCTGAGATAGCAGAAATATTATCCAGAACAATGTGGTAACTCATGAATGGTATATTCACTTTGTGACTATCCATACAGTTTTCTGTTTCCTAATAGAGATGTTTTTTAAAAGTTGTCTGGATTCAAAATCAAAAGCTGAAGCTGAAGGAGGCAGAGTTAAAAAAAACTCCAAAGTGTTCAAGAACTATTTTGGCTTTATTCTGAGTGAGGAAAAGGTTGAAATCTGGTAATGTAAATGCAGTGAGGGGAAATGGTAAACACTAACAGGGAAAAAAAAAATGAAGTTATCTGTATACTTATTCTGATAAATGCAGCCTGAAAGAGCTCCTGGGGGAGGTGGGACAGGGGCTGTCGATGTGAAGAACCCTATTCTAGCATTTTGCAGTCCATGTCTCTGGAGGAGCAGGAAGGCTTTTCTCATATTTGTTGGGCTCTTTCCTTTTATCAGCATCTTTTCCCTATTACTTCCTGTCCCTCCTCCACTCCCTAGTATACATATGTCAACCTCTTGCTATGACTATTTTCCTTAGAGGAGCTATGTGAGAGTATTCATTTCCTGTGGGCCCAGTGTGTATGGAGTATCAGTGTTTTATAACAGGCAAGTGATGGGTGAAGGGAGGCCCTCTTTGTTTTTTAAGTGCAGAGAAACCTCAGATTATCTGAGTCAGGCACTATGCAATCTGCTACTCTCATTTGGATGGCCAAGTGTGCTGTACATAAGTTGTAATAGGAAGAGTAAAGTTTACCTGTATTGACTGAACTGAATAAATTTAACAAGATCCCTTGAAATACTGATTCTACATCACCTGTTAAGCATCCATGTCTGGTGAATCAAACTGCCAAGTAGTTGCCCTACAGCAACAATTGCAAGAGGGTTTTTTCATCTCTATATGTGAAGTCCTTCATAATACTAAACCCCATAAATTACTGTTTATAATAGTTGATATTCTACAAAATTGACAGGCAAGTATCATGTCCTCTAAAAGCCTTCCTTTTTAAATACTACCCTTTTCCATCCAAAACTCAAATGACTGAGTCAACTTCTGAGAGGGGGAAGTCAAGCCATTTAATGTAACAACTGCCTTATGTCTAGATAACCTGTAGTAATTTCTTATGCATGAATGGTTTCACATTCTTCCAGTCAACTACAAGTTATCTCAAATAGTTGTGAGGGGAAAATTAAATAGTTCCAGGCTGACTTCTAACAACACTCCAAAACTTTCCTACCTATTTTTGATAAGACAGCAATTTTGTGGGCCTCAGTATTTCTATGGGTTAACCAGATTAATTTGTAGATCATTCTTTGAGCAATAGAGTCACCCCATCTAAAATCACAGCATTCTGCATTTAATTACATGTGGCCATGTGTTGTATGCAAGAACATGTCAGTATCATGAGAGAATACTTTTTTTTTTAGATAGTATCTTTGCTTTCAAACTAATTTGCAAGCCAGTTCTGGTATGTTTAAAGCCACCGTTACCAGAAATTATTCTATTTCTGTGAGCCTAAGTCCTACAAGTAACTCCTAAACCTCCTAATTTCTTATTGTAAGAGATGTTCCAGTAGTCAGTGTCTACACTATATAGTTTGAGATGTTCCAGTAGTCAGTGTCTACACTATAAATGCCTGTTCAGTACATAGGACATTTGTGTGATACGGTTGCATCTCATGAAACACAGGTGACTTGTATGTTGGAAAAGAATGGAGAGAGCAAATTCTGTATTTGCATTTAC